CCAGTAATTAGATCAAATCCAGGAGCTTTCTTTGGATTTATATTTTCTTTTATTTTCAAATATACTTCTTTTGGAATTACAAGGCAAATCTCCATTTCGTCTTGATCAGGGAGCTCCCAGTTTATTCTTTCTTGTTCTTCATTTGGTTGAAAAGTATTTTCTAGGTGGTCAGCAAACCTGTTGGCCTTTTGTATATTGCTTCTTGCCCAGCTACCATTAGTATTTCTAATTGGTGGATACTGTAAGATTGGCCTTTTTAATCGTTTAGTAGCCTTCCACAAAGAGTAATCAGTAGCGCTATCATTTGATAGTTCACTTAGGTAAATGTTAACCGATTCGTTTTTAATTTTTTGTATTTCTCTTTTTAATTTTTGTGTGGCATTATTTAATCTAGTTTTATCAACTGGTGCTCTAGACTGATGCCACTTGCGTCTTAGTTTTCTTTTTTCGGTTATCATTTCTCTGATTTCTTTCGGGTAGTTATTACCTTTTATTCTTTCGACACTGTTCGTGCTGTTGTTCCAAACAGCTTGTTGTATATTTTTATTGAGTAATTCTACTTCTGCTTCTAGTTGATCAATGGTTCTTAATGGCACTGAGAGGTTAATCTTCTCTTCAAGGTTTATCTGGAAACTTTTCCAATCAGTATTTTTGTTAACAAGTCTAGGGGGGCTTTCTTTTTTGATAACAGTGTCACTGAGTGTGAGAATAATTGGAGAATGGTCCGAGGTCATATCCAATGACTCTTCTATCTCTATGTAATTTGTAGAAATATTTCTAACTACAAAGAAGTCGATAAGGTCTGGAATTTTATTTGTGTCAGTAGGCCAGTATGTTGGTTTTCCCGTTGATACTGCGTCGCATTTTATGTATTTCATTGCTTCTAAAAGTTCTTTCCCTTTGGTTGTAGTCAGTCGTGACCCCCAATGCGTATGTTTTGCATTGAAGTCTCCTCCAAGGATAAATCTATGTCCTTGACTGGTCAGGAAATCTACGTATTGATTTTTTTGATGGCATGTCTTGGCGGACTGTAAACTGCTGTGACGATTACCTCATAATTTTTACATTTAATTTTTACTGATGTGGAGTGAATTTCTTTTGTTCTGTACCCAATTTCCTTATAGTGCATAATATTTTCCTTGATTATAACTGCACTACCTCCTTTGGCTACATTATCAGGGTGAGTAGTATGATAAGTTTTGTAACCCCTAAATCTAATATATGACTCATTCGTAAAATGGGTTTCAGAAATGAGGCATATATCTATTTTTTCTATATCTAGTATCGCTTGTAGTTCTTGCTGATGTTTCAAGATCCCATTTGCATTCCATTATAGCTCCTTTGGTGCTATATTCTATTCTGGTTATACGCTCGTCTAGGTTAGTTAATCTCTCTAATATTTTTTGTAGTGTTTGTTCTATTTTCAGATCTTTTTGACTACTATAGTTTTCTTCGTTACTTTTACCTGAATTAATCTTCATTTGTCACTTTAAAGTTCGCATTACACCAATGTTTGGCTATTGCTTAAGTTTTTTTTTAAACCGGACCGCTAATTCGTTTAAGGATTTTTCTAAGTAAACCACTCGGCTAATGCTTGTTCGGCGCCTGAATATTTCCTACTGAATTTTCTTTTTTGAGTTAATTTTAAATTTGCTTACAAGTCGTCCTGATTTTTTAAAAAATTGCTTACGTGAGCTAGTGAAATTGTTTTTCTAAACAATTAACACATGCAACAAGTCAGATTGTATATTGACCTGATAATAAACAATCTTATAGATGTATGGGTATGTCGTAGTTTTTTAAAAAATCATCTATTTCAAACGTTTTAGTATAATATAAATCCAACATTTTTGGGAAACTGAAACTAGCGTTTATCAACCACATTATGAACCTAGCGGTAACGGACATAGACGAGGGAATACTTATAAACGGAGAACGATTGAACAACATAAGATACGCCTATGATACTGTCATTTTTGCAGACAGTCTTAAAGGTCTGCGGACACTTGTCTCCAAGGTGGCAGAAGTAAGTAGCAGGTTTGGTCTTGATTTTAACATAAAAAAAAACCAAATACATGATTATAAGCAAACATAGGATACCACCTGGTCAATTGCTAGTTAACCAACAGTTTTAGATAAAACAACTAGTTTTAGATAAGTTGTGCGCTAGTTACAACTATCCCCGGAATAGCAGAAGATGGTTCATGATGATATTCTACACATTGTTAGGTGTTACAGGAATTATTACTCAGGTGATATATAAAGCAAACAACAAAGACCCAAATATATAGTGATGATATTTGTTAAGAGATTTATCCAATGTTCAAGAAAGGAGATAAAGAAGATCCCAATAATTATAGAGGTATAAATCTACTGAACACCGCACTTAAGATTACCACAAAAGTCCTAACCAATAAAATCAATAAACTAACAACTTTTTCAGATGAACAACAGGGATTCAGATTCTTAATATCCTGCGTAGACGTCGTATTTGTATTAGGACAAATCACAGAAAAGGCCATCGAGTACAATAAACCAGCATATATATATATATATATATATATATATATATATATATTATATATATATATATATATATATATATATATATATATATATATATATATATGTTTTATAGACCTGACAAAGGCTTTCGATCGCATTCAAGTCGAAGACGTCTTACACCTACTGTATAAAAGAAACATACCAATCAATATTATACAAGCTATCGAAAACATCTACCTCCAAAATCGAATATAGGCAAAGATAAATGGAAAAGTAACACAGTGTATACCAGTGTATACAAAGTGGCGTCAGACAGGGTGACTCGTTGAGCCCACTTCTCTTTAATATAATAATGGACGAAATAATACATGCAGTACCTAAAGGTCATGACTACAGAATAGGGAACAAAGAAATCCAAATATTATATTATGCAGACGACGCCGCATTAATCGTCGAGACAGAAGACGAGCTCCAAAGATTAACACATATCTTCAATACAACAGCTAAGAAATACAATATGATTATATCAGCAGACAAAACCAAATGTATGACAACATCTAAATACCCACTACGGTGTAAAATCGAAATTGATGGGAAAATAATAAAGCAGGAAGCAAGGTTTAGATATTTGGGAATAGATATAACTAGTTGTAGAGATGGTAAAGAAGGAGTACGACCAGAAACTTAAAAGCAAGTAAAGCGGCGGGTTCTCTTAATGACACAATTTGAAAGAACAAACACCTAGGACAAGACACAAAAACAAGAATCTATAAAGCAGCAATTAGACCTATATTAACATACACGGCGGAGACAAGACCTGACACATCTAAAACGAGACGACTGCTAGAAACAACAGAGATGAAAATACTTCGACGAATATCAGGAAAAAGTCTATTGGATATGGAGAGAAGCGAAAGCATAAGAAGAGCATACAATATAGATGACATAAATGGATGGGTGACAAAACGAAAACAGGAGTGGAACGAACATATCAGTAGAATGGTAGAGGATAGAATAGTACGAATAGCACGAGATGTCATCAAATGGACGAAGAAGTATTGGCAGACCAAAAAAAAGATGGTGCGACAATTTATAAGGGCAATATCGAAGAAGAAACAGGCTTTAAAGCCTATATACTAGAAGGAAGAAGAAGAAGAAGATTTAGCAAACGTATTGGTTCATCGACATTTGAAAAGGAGAGCAACTCAGCAATTTTCCAAGGACGCTGAAGCTGAGTATTATGAAAATAATTCGAAGTGATGCACCGAAAAATTAAAAAATACCATTACCTGCTGGAAGGCGCATTGGAAGGAGAAAGAGCAGAAAGACTCGTTTTTCCCGCCACAAATGCAATGCATTTATGTGTTTAGAGCATATCACAGTGATATATCCGAACTGTAGGGAACTAGAATAAAAGTATATTGTTTTGTTTTTGCTATTTGTTGCATTTATGTTAATTTAACATTTTTAAGTACGTTTATTGTTTTACGTTTGTTTATCTTTGTTATATAAGGAAAAATTAATACACCTGACTTTTTTTTTCAATAACTATTCAAATAATTTTTCTGTTTAATTTAATAAAGTTAAAATTATATTTTTTTACTAAAATGTCTTAATATATTCACCCATTCTAATTTCCTACAAAATAAAACAGAAAAATATTCAATTTTTATTTTTTAGACCACCTGGTCTATGACACCGGGGCAACTAAACTTGTAAAAAACTATAGCGCCAATACGCAAAGATTAATAATTTATAAATATGTCCTAAAATAAAATCTATATTAGTATAATAAAATACTAGTAGTAAGACTTAGAGTGAAAAATACTAGTTTGACGTTAGAGCTGAGAGACTGACATTTCGGCTCTTTAGACAATTGTTTTCCAAAACTTCTATAAAACTGATCCTGATTCAGTTTTAAAGAAAAAAAGCGGGTCAATTATGTGACGCTTGTCTAAGAAACTGAAGATGTTAGCTTTTTGGATCCAAAACGTTAGCAAATTGGATAAAGAGCTGAATTTTTCAGCCTTGTAGAAAAGACAACCGAGACACTGAATTTCATTACCTTAGAAGCGCCACTTGGTTAAATAGTCACATAATATATGACATTTTAGGAGATATTTTATATCTCGAGATATTTTAGGTGACCGTTGGAAAAATGTATAAAAGCTGTCGTGTCGTTTAAATTTTATATTCTATATATTTTGAAATGCGGAGGATATGGTGGACAGCAATATAAGATAATACGAAAAATGTGCTAGTTGCCAAAGTGACATCTTTAAAACATAGAATGAATCAGAATCAACAGATTGTCGGTATAATTTTAGTATATGCCAATGATAAGTGGGATACAAAGGAATAATAATGAAGTCGTTTTTTAATATTATGAAAATCTAAAATAAATAATTTGAAATAAAAATTAAATACAAAATAAGTTAAACTTAATCGACATTCTCGTACGAACACTGGTTAAAGGATACAATAAACTCACTTACTTTTTCTGACAAAACGTATTCACCTAAGTAAACACATAAGAGAAGCACTGTATACGACATCATTGTCACTTACTAAGCAAAAATCATATAATTTGGCTATTTATAATTTTGATTACACAGGAAGAGAGTTTCACAATTTACCATTTTAATCTATTTAACACCCACTAACACTAGATTTCTAGGGTTTTGTCATCTTTTATGCGGAGTTTTTTTATTAATGTTATAAAATTATAACATGTAAATTTTTGTTATTATCAACCTCGCTGAATTCCTGAATTTGAAGATAGTAAAATCACTAGATAAATATATCATATCATTTGTTATTTGAAAATTGTGTACAGACAAACTGTACGTGGGAAGCATACCATCCTAAGTTACATTCTCATAATTTTACAGGAGGTGTACTTAAACATTATATATTTGATGTTTTTTCGAAAACCGATGAGTAATTAATTGCGGCGGAAACTATTGTCGATATTTAAAAATAGTTTACTGTAGTATTTTTTTACCGCATCAACCCCTAGGGTTATTAGCGGGGTGGTATATCTTTATTTTAGAAAAGTTATACTTAATATGTTATTAAAATTTACATTTTTTGAAAAACAGTTTTGAAAAATACAAAAATGTTATGTTATGTTACAGTTTGTTATACAGTTTTCAATTTTTGATAAAATTAATTGTATTACTGATGTCTTCTTTTAGAGTTTCTTTCAAATTGTGTTTTATTTTTGCTGTCGATCTTGCTGTTGAGTATACTCAACAGTTTATCATTATATGTTGCACTGAAAATGGTATTTGACAGGTGTGGCAAATCGGCTGAGGGTCCTTGGAGATGATGTATCCATGTGTAAATTTTGTATGACCTAGCCGCAGTCTGTTAATAACTACTTGGTCATGTCTTTGAGCTGGGAGCGGTAGTAAAGTAGAAGTAACATTTGGTATGATAATTTTTAATTTTGCTTCTGTTAGGCTTAATTTTTCTTGCCAGGTTTTGTTAATGTAAGTTTTTATTAATGTTTTTTGGTCTGAAATTGGTATGTTTTACATAATAGGAATTGTCATGTTATTGATAGTTTCTGTTGCTGCTTTATCAGCTGCTTCATTAGAGGAAGTGGTCCGAATATGAGCCCCCCATTTGTTTTTTTTGTATAAATTTTTGAAAGTTACGAATAAATATCCAGTAAATTACACACTACAAGCTTAAAGGTTTACCTTATGGTATATTAAAAAGGCATTATCAAAAAAATTAAATTTAGGTGGAATTTGTGTCAACACTTAAATTATGTACAGATCTACTTTTGGATTAGACTGCGTGGAATATGGGCCCCCTAGTAAAATAATTGATAGGTATCTAACAATTTGAAAAAACATATATTTTTCAAATAAAAAAAACTGAAAATGAAAATGAAAATACATTTCAACTTAAAAACCACATATTACACGCAAAAGTCACAAATATATGCATCTTTTTCGGCACCTGAACATTGTTCGTGAGCCCATTGATTGCACATGAAGCATTGAATCCATAACTCTCCTCTCTGGTCATCGGAAAAGCGACCATCACAAAATAGGCATACTGCATCACAGCCGTCAGGAACAGATTTGCCAATTTCGTCGATATCCATATCTTCATCGTCTGGGACAAACTCGTGACTTTCATCCTCAGAGTCGCTGACTTTATTGTCTTTTGCTTGCTGTCTTTTTTTGTTAGTTGTCTTCTTTGCTTTTGATTTTGAAAAGACTTGTCGTTTGGTGCTTGCTTTCTTAGGCGTGTTGGTGCAGGATTTCTCTAACTCATCCTTGTAGGGGGAAGAGGTGATCACTTGCGATTTAGTTGATTTTCTTCCCCGAGTGGTATTTTTCTTTGTGACGGAAGGTACAGGTGAAATGTCAAATGGTGAGACCAATTTAACGGAATTTTCCATTCCTGGAACAGATGGTCTAGAGAAATTGGAATTTGACGGCGAAGATGTTGCCTGTGATTGTAATTTAGCTGTATCTTCCCAAAAAGAACATCCTGGCTGAGGTTCTGGGGTACCATGCTGGGGTTCTGTTGTGACAGGCCGCGCTTGAGGCGAGGCTTGAGACAAAATGTTGCAGTTTTTCTCAGCCTGAATTCGTTCAGATATAAAATCTGCTTCAGAAAAAATGTGACGGTTGAACGGATATATTCCCGTCGCCCTAAAACCACTAGCAGCTATTTCGGCACACTGTGATTTTAAAAAGGCTTTACCTAAAAGTTCTGCCAAGTCAAACTGTGTGAGGGCTCGTTGGTTAACACGAAGCCAATTTCTAATTTCCTCACTGTAATAAGCCTTGAAACTTCCCATGAATGTTTTATCAAGGGGTTGTAATTTATGAGTTGAGTGAGGCGGCAAAGAGATAATGGAAATATGATTTTCACGAGCTAGTCGAATAACTTCTAAGTTTCGTGTGTGGCTATAATGGCCATCTAACACTAGCAGAACTGGACATTCTTTTGTTGGTTTAACAAAATTTATGAAATGCCTCATCCAATCGGAAAACAAATTCTGTTGCACCCACCCACTTGGATGTACTGCGTAGATTGAACCTGGAGGAGCCCCTCGCATCAGCTGTTCGTTGCGATTTTTTCTCGGGAAAATTAACATGGGCGGTACAAATTGACCTCCAGCGCTCATTGCAGCTATAAACGTAACTAGTGAACCCCGTTCGGCTGAGGTAATTGAAGCAATTTGCCGTTTTCCTTTTCTTCCCACCACTGATGCCACCTTACTTTGAACAACTGTAAGCCCAGTCTCATCTACATTGTAAATTTGGTGAGGCGAAAATTTATTTTTTGAGTATTCACTCTGCAAATTGTCAAAAAATTGCTCCACATTTTCCTTATTGAAGCCTAATGCTCTAGCGAAGGAAGTTCCTGTTGGTCTTCGAATAGAAAGTACATTTTTGTGACGTAGTAAAAATGCATCCAACCAGCTTCTCCCCGCCACACCATTTTTAAATGGATGAGCTATTCCATTACGAACAGCTAAGACATATGCCATTTTTCTAATGTCCTTTCTTGTGAGACCATAGTAAGTAGCTTCCATGGACAAAACATATTGGACAAGTTCTTCCTCCAGTTCTTTTCCTAATGTTGTCTTTCTTCCTAGTTGAGTTTTAACTACGTCACTAATATTTAAATTACCTTCCTTTTGTTTTTTTAACAGTCTTTGAAGTGTAGATCGTGGCACGCTGAACTGTTTGCTTGCAGTTTTAAGACCCATTATTTTGTTATTAACACTGTCTATAGCCTTAACCATATCTTCACGTCTCCATGTTTGTCTTAAGTTCTTTGAAAAAAACTTCGGTTTGCTTCGTGGCATAATGAACTGCAAAAAAAACACTTTATTAAGACTTGGTCCGAATATGAGCTCTGTCCCATAATAGGACCACGGTAGGGGCCCATATTAACAACATTCCACCTGATTATTTAAAAGCATTCAATTTCTTCTCAATTCATTATTAGGTTAGTTTTTATGATGGAATATCAAATACTGATCACTTTTCTAACATACTAACACATCAACTCTCCAGTTTCAAACATAAACGTTGATAAATAGCACAAAAACACTTACCGTAAAATATTTGTTGAACTACACAAATAAACTTATGTCACCTGTTAGTACAGAGATATACACGAGACTGCGTGCATAAACAGAAAAATGTTTGGGGGTCTAGTAGAAGTATTTTAGTACGAAATTCATAGATGTCGCGACGTGCTCTAGTTGAAATATATTGGGGGCCCATAATAAGTGCAGGGCTCATATTCGGACCACTTCCTCTACCCTTTATCCCAACATGGGGTGGTACCCATAAAAATGTTATGTTTTTACCACGTGTTTGGGCATTGTATAGCATGTCTTTTATTAGTGCTAAATTGGCATGAGTAGGATACATCTGCTTGACACCATTTAAGGCACTCAAAGAATCTGATATAATAAGAAAATTTATATCATTGCTGGTACATTGGTTCAGTGCGTTGAAGATTGCTTGCAGTTCTCCAGTGTATATGCTACACTCCTTGGCTAGACGGGTGACAGAGGTGTTGTCTTCAAAAATAGCCGCAGCAGCTACACCATTACTGCTTTTAGAGGCATCAGTAAAAATTAGTTTAAAATCAGGCTATCTGGAGATGGTAGACCGTAATTGTTGTTTTATTTCAGAAGGATTATGTGAATGTTTGGGATAGTTAAGTAAGGTAAAATCTACTTTTGGTATTTAAACTTTCCAGGGAGGATACTGGCATCTATTTGAAGAAGTGGCTTTTAATTTATGTATATCCAACTCAAATCGATTTATTCGTTCATTGAAAGGTAAGTTTCTAGGGCAATAATTTGAGTACAGATTTGGAGTGTTGCTCCTTATTAGGCTTGTTATAAACGAGTTTTCATTTGCACTGAGATATTTAGTAGCACAACACATTGAAAAATATTGTCTTCTGAGAGCTAATGGCGGTTCTCCTGCTAGGACTTGAATACTGCTAATTGGTGTGGTTCTGAAAGCTCCGAAAACTATGCGTAATGCTGTGGATTGAATGATGTCCAGTTTGTTCAATTAACATTTAGTAGCGGTTTCGTAGCATATACATCCGTAATCTAGTTTGCTTCTACTTAGAGCTTGATATAATCGTAGAAGAATAGTTGTGTCTGCGGCATATTTGTGATTGGACAGAACTTTTAGAAGATTTATTCTCTGTTGGCATGATTTAATTAGTTTATTTATGTGCGATGTCCATTTGAGTTTAGAGTCGAATGTCATTCCCAAAAATTTGATTTTGTTGATTGTTATAAGAGTATTTCCGTTTAGTTTTAAATTTAAGTGGTGTTGGGTTTTTTTGTTGTCAAATATTATTACTTTAGTTTTTTCGGCTGAAAATCTCAAGCCTATATCGAAAGACCACCCTTCTAATTTATTTAGTGTATTTTGTAATATTGATGCAGCTGATTTTAGGTTTTTACTTCTCACATATATTACAAGATCATCGGCGTAAAGGTTTGCTTTTACTGGAAGCATAAAATGGTTAGATATGTTGTTGATTGCTATTAAAAACAGCAGGGGGCTTAATACAGATCCTTGAGGGATACCATTTTCCAGTGATTTCTTAGTTGACAAGACATTGTTAGCTTTTACCACTTACAGACCTCACA